TATATATAGGTTATGCTAGTTACATGAAAGGACATATCTGCCCTTGGTGTTTACATCATAACTGTTAACAAATAACAACCAATATAAAACTGAAACTAGAAATAACAGAACAGCAAAATAACCACAGCTGTGACTAGATACATTCTACCCTACGGACAGAGCGGGACCACATCTGTGGGGCCCACATCAATGTTCTCTACACGTCTAATTCAGACACTTTTGTCTCTTGTAGCATCACAATGTCAGGCTTTTTCCTCTTTGAATAGATCCTGAATCACCCTCCTCTTTCTTGCATTACCCAATCCTCTCACATTCCAACTTATAATCTTCATAATAACACTTCAACTAGAGATCCTCCTCAAGCCAATCTCCTTACCTAGATTTTTTCTTCCTTTCTCCCCTTCCACTAAATTTTAGATCACCCTCAATGTCAGACTAATCTCTCCACTTCAGTTATTTATTTATTTTCTTTTTTCTCCTTTGTATCTCATTATTCCGGCAGTATTTTTTCACTTCTCTCCTCTCACTACCAGAACCAAACTGCTGGTTCCTCCCTTCCCCTTTGAAAGTCGCTTCAACTCCCTTCTCAACTTCCTTCCCAACCTCACCCTCCTCACTAGCCACCCCCTCCCTCCCTCTATAGGTCCTCTTCCAAGTAGCCCTCCTTCTTTCTAAGCTCCCCCAAATTCTGCCCAAATCATTGTCCAAATTCTATCTGCCTCCTCTCCCAGCCCCTTTCCAAGCTCTAACCCTTCTCTTTTTCTGCATTGTTGGGAATTCCATTACCATCCTCAGTTTCTTCAGCTCTCTCTTCTAGGTTGGATGCTGGAATATCTGCAACAGACTTAACACACTGATCAGTAACAAAAAATAATGGACACCCATACCTTTAGGTTCTGTAGCCAAAGGAGTAGCAGAAATTTGACAATGGGAGTCAACAAAGGAACCCACGACGAGCCCCCTAATAGGATTTTGCTGTGAAATGGATACGGGTAAAGAACTATCCTAGTCTAAATTAGCTCCGAGAGAGGCCTGCCCCTTAATGATTTTGTAGACATTACCAATTAAACTTGTAAGTCTGAGATCATTCAATTCTATTGCACCTTTTTTCTTGGGAATCACAGATATGAAGGTTGAGTTGAAGCTTCTTTCTAGAGCCCCATTATGATGAGATTCCTGAAACCCTTCAGCAGGTCTTCCCTTATAAAATGTTAGCCTCACTTGTAAAGCTTCATGGTGAAGCTATCTGGCCAGGATGCTTTGTCACCTTCCATCTCACTAATTTTCTCTAAAATTTCTGCTTCATAAGAAGGCTTTTCTAGCTCCTTTGCATCTTCATCTGACAATCTCTCAAACTGTATGCCATCCAGCTTTGCTCTCCGGGGCCACTCTTTTTATAAAAATTTGTGTGATAGCTTACTATAGCCTGATGAATACTACTTTCCTTCTCAATTAATTTCCCATCTACCTCAATTCTCTTAATTAAATTCTGTCTTCTATCACTAGCCATTTTATGAAAAAAAGAGGTGTTTGTATCCCCCTATTTCATCCATAAACACCTTGATCTCTACCTCCATCTAACTTCATTTGGTAAGCATATGGTCAAAGTCCAACTTTCTTTATCTCCCTTCTGCCTGTCCTCATTTGATAGTACACCTTGTTCTTCAGCCTTTTTAACTTCTATAATTACATCTAAGCGTTACTCTCTTTTTTTTAACTTTCCACCCCCCAAATATCTCCCTACCATAATTTTCAAGGCACCAAGGCGAGGCTAGGCGATGGATTTTTTTATGTAAAAAACATAGATCCTAGGGTAGTTCCCTTTCTTTAATAATTATTCATAATTTTCATTAGAAAAGTATGAAGTTCATGTTAAAGTATAGAAAATCAACATGTTCATGAGAATAAAAAGAAGGAAAAGAAAATTCAAAAAATATAGGGCCTGAACCGTTACTTTTGTTGTAGTAGAGGTAGTAGTTTGGTTCAGGTTTTGAAGTCTTCTTTACTTATTGGAAAAGAAAAATAAAAAAATGTGTTGATTAGACAATTTTAAGTTCTTTACTTATTGGTTCAGGTTTTGAAGTCTTTGAGGGTTCAATACAGCATTTAGCAATGTTTGTGTTGATTAAAGCCTAACAAATAAGAAAATAGTAAAAAGAAATTAGTCATAAACACACAAAATGGATATTTTGCAGTTTTATGATGTATATTATATAATTATAATCTCAAAAAGTAAAGAATAAAAAGTATTTTATAATAAAAAGTAGAAAACTGCTTGGTGATTAAGCGAGATGAGCCTCAAAGGGTGTCTTGTCACCTAGGCATCGCCTTGACAACCATGCTCCCTATTCTATTTTTTTTTTTTTCAATCTAGATTTCAATGCAAAAAGTTCCTTGCTGAACATGTAACTTGCAGTCCTTTAAACTTGTACTTCTTCTCACCAATGGTGCATTCTCTCCACCAACCCTTCTTCCCCCAACCATGAATGTTCAAAGTGAAAAGGTGGGTTTTCAGATGTTGCATACACCCAGAATCCAATAAAATTCACAAAATTTGGAATACGCTCCATCCATTTGGCCTAGGCAACAAACTTATTCAATTTCTCCAATATGGGCACCTCTTGATTATTAGTCCATGTGAAACCTTGCCTCTGATAGAGAAATATCCACCATATCCTTTGTCCTCATAAACTGCATAAAACCCTTATACCCCTGCCACCTGTTGAGCCTCATTTCCTCTCATTTGCAAATCTTATTGTGTTGAAATCTCCCTCTGCACACCCCCACCTACCTCTGATTCCTCCCCTTCTTTTCACCTTCACTTTCCTATTTTTTATGTAAAATTTCAATGTTTACTATAAAAAATACCCTTCAAACCAAGAAAACATGAAAAAGAACTTCTTTAAAGGTTTGTTGGCTTTAGTTTAGTGTTTTCTACCTGCACTTTTTTCTTATGCATCAATGATGAATAGGGAGCTTTGGTTTCCATGCTTAATGGCTCTAAAATTTTTATATCATGAACTTTTCAGCATTTATTAAGAACATGAGCTGTTGGACATTAGTGTTCTTAGGGCCGTGAATTGTTGCATGTTAATTTGTTTCATTTAAATTTAATCAATGTTGGTTTTTCTCTCTAATACCTGCATGTGTACCTATAATTCAGTGTTTAAATAAATTATTTTTTCCCTTTATTTTGGAAGTTGCTTATAAATTGTATTCCTGTACAGATTAATTAATTTCTTTGAATACATCACTCTTAAGTGTTGTATAAAGTTCTTAGGTGGTCCTTTCTTTTCATATTCTCCTTTTCTGATTTTCTAGGTAATTCGACATCAAAGTGTTGAGCAGCTATTGCTTCTTGGCCGAATGTTGCAAGGAACTATGAAGTTCCCTTGGCATTTTTCATGCCATCCTGCAGCTTCTGGCACCTTTTTCACTGCCATGCTTCTTGGGCTCAAGTTCTGCTCATGCCAGTCCCAGCGTAATCTACAGAATTTTAAGATGGGGCTTCAGTTGCTGGAGGACCGGATTTATCGGTGATTACATCTGCTGTTTGCTTCTTAGTTATATATTGGCTTTTACTGCTTGTGTTTGTTCTGTATAATTGATTGACACTGATATGCTTATAAATATCGACCATTATAATTTGAAGGTGCTGATTGATGATTCAACATCTGAATAAGATTTTTGGTCATAGATATTGTTTTCAATGATGTTTATAGTGTTTCTATTTTGTTCTGTCTCTTATCTGAGACAATTTTGTTTCTTTCAAGGGTGTTTTCTTGTGACCTACTTGGAATTATCTCCTTTTCATCATCAATTAATTCCATTGTCCCGTTTTACAATTAATATGTTGATATTCACTTTTGCCTTTTTATTTGAACTTCCAAGTTATTGCTGTTCTCTTTCCTTTCTGGTTGGTACTTCAAATATTTTATTGATTAGAATTAATGAAGACGTACAAAAGTCTAATATAATGCAATACTTTACCATTTAAAAAAAGTCTAGAATTAATAAAGATATACAAAAGCCCCAAAAATGACTATGCTTTATGCACTAACTGTTACACCCGAAAGAGTATGACATCCAAATACAAGATCTCTTCTTTTGAAAGAGTTGAACTCATAAATTGCTGGACAACAATCCATCAGAAAACTGCTTGCATTAATACACACTTGAGGCAACAATTCTCCTTTCCTTGTAAAATCTACTTTCTTTGCAAATACACATGACAGAAAAAATAATAGCCCAAATGTAAATGCCCTGGTAGTGGCATGAACTTTTGTTTCCTTTTCTAATCTGTTTACATAACCTGAACGCATATGTGATGAATTATAACCACATACAGGTTTATATCAAGGTCTTGTATTTCCAATTCTATAATCAACCATGCATGTTTCTAGAGTCAAATTGTTATTGAATGGTGTATGGCAGAATAATTAGGGTGTCATATAGCTGCTTAATGGATCTTCCTATCAATCTTGTGAGCTAATACCATGATTATGTAGAATAAGGCATAGCAAAAAAGAAAGAAGCTCCACTAAAGTTGAAAATGGGATAGAGTTTGTAACTTTCTGGTTCATGATTTTGACAATAATCAAATTTAATTTCCTCAGGATCATCAACTGAAGCATTCTTAATTTCTCAACCAAGTTCCAATGTTGCCTAGAATTCTCATAACAATTCTTTTATACCATTTTTAGATGATCTAGTTTCTCCCACGAAGGATTAAGTGAAAAAAAGTAAACTGCTATAGGTTTCTCCATCTCATGTTGCTCATTTCTTACCTTAACTGACATGAACAAGCAATATTGTGGTTTTAAAATTGTATCTGCCACCCCTATCCTAGATTATTTTGGCCAAGGAATGAAACATTGTATTTTAAGTTAGATGAGGCTGCAGTGATGTAATAGGCCAAGACCATACCATGAAGTCCTCCTTTTCCTATTTGGTATAGTTCTGATCCTCCACCATTTGCTGCTTTTCCTTCCCATTCAAGTAGCCAAGCTTCTCTTAATCATTGATATACAGTTTAGCACATTATGCCATTCCAATATTTATTAGCGTCAAGTTTCACTGTAGTGATTTGAATATTTGGGTTATCACCCACTAATCAGAGAGCTAGACCAGGTGATTTGTTTTTATCTCCGACCAGAACTGGATGCCATCTTCACTTTCTGTCAACTCTCACCGCCTCCTCTCAGCCACAAGACCACAAACTGTCAAGAGAGGACACCACAATAAAGAGAATGAAAGGGAAACAACAACCGGTCATGCAGTGGCTTCAAAAGATCCTTATAGGGTATTGACTAACATTAGATATCACAAAAAAAGCCCAGCTTTCTTTAACATCTGTTGTTTCCATAACACAGAAAAAAAATATGCTTCCAGGCTAGGGTGGTAAATATAAAAGCAAGAAACAACCACTGAAGCTTCAACAAATCTCCAAAAATGATAAGGTTTGCTTCTACAGGTCCAGTATCCCATGAACCGGAATCTATGGCCCAAATCAGAAAAGTAAAAAAGAAAAAAGACCCTTATCATACTATTTGCCAAACTGACACACTGCTTTTCTGAGATTTTTCTCCAGAAAATCCAAAAAAAAAAATATAAACTCATCTCAGATAACTTTGTTTCTCCATCAAAATTCTGTAAAAATATGTTATATCAAAAAATTTCACATGATGTTTTGAAGAGGTTGGCCTAACATCTTGCTGATATTATAGGCCTAACAGGTATCAACAGACTCACTTGTGAGCTGTGATCAGTGGAAGAGTAATGCCATGGTTGCTCTGGTACCAAGTTGAGAAGTATGCATAGATAAGAGCAGTTATCAAGAAGATGAAGGCAAACTGCTGCATGTTTTCTGGGTGGAAGATATTCAGATATAATCTCATTATGTGCTGGTTGGATGTCTTGTAGAGTACTAAAGTAGGGCAAAAACAAAACAAAAGTAAAAGAGTACTCCCATAGCATAAAAACAAGAGTAAAAGTGTACCCCTGTCCAAAGGTCACTACAATAACCCTATTTTATGACTTATAAACTGTAATAACTAATTCAAAGATCCTCTAACAGCAGTAAATCAACTAAAAATGCAAGATTTAAACTTGGTAAGGGCAACTGTTTTGGAAAAATGTTTGACTGTTGATAAGTTAATGATAAGGGGAACGTTAATGGTAAGGGGAATGGCTGTTGATAGTGTCTATTATTACATTGTTCTTCTCGGGTCTGGGCATAGTCCTAGATACTTCTAGTTGGAGGGATTCCTTTCCAGAATTTGTTGAGCTATTCTCTGTGGGTGGTGGCTTGGGAGTTTAAGCAGGAAAGAAAAAAATATATGGGAAATGATACCATTTTCTGTTTTCTGGTGCATTTTAATGGGGAGAACTGTGCGTATTTTTGAGAACAGGTTCACAGAGATGGAGACAATTATCGGGTGAGTTAAAGGGAAGCTCTGTTCGTGGTTCTTGTCCATAAAAAATTTAGGGTAAATTACAAATAGGTACCTATACTTGGGGATAGTGACAGATAGGTACCCTGAACTTTCAATTACAACACTTTTGAGTACCCCAAACTTTTAGAAATAGACATCCCAGTCCAACCGTTGGTATTCTGTCAGTTAAATATTCTAAAATTCCAAAACTACCATTTTTTCAAAGTGTTTGTGATAAACCTGGTGGTTAGATTGTATTTTATCATTGTTATCCATTCTTGAAGGGGGCTTCCTAGAGCCAACAAAGGCAAACAATAGAATTTGGGCACTCACTCCCTTAGGTTCTTTCACATTGTAGAGAACACTGATGTGGGCCCCACTGCAGTGGTCCCCACTGTGTTTGTAGGACAGCATGTGTAGTTATTTGTTTCAGTTATAGTAGTGTCAGTTTGTTAATTCAGTTGTTATTTATTTCAGCTTTATTTACTTTATTTATTATGTAAGTAGT